AACTTTAAATCCAAGCCATGGCTAATTACCTTTGACTATAACCACCAAGAAATAATTATTGAAAAAGCATACAAATACAATACTAATAACAATACTATTTCAATTACACACTGGCTAACCAAACATGACCCCTCCTACACTAACTTTTACCCACTTCCAACTATTAATTGTATATGATGCACAGGATGCATATACAACTCTAACAGAATTCAAAACTATTGTACTTTCAACATTCCAGCCAATTCTGCAACAAAATTCCTAGGACAGATAAAACACAACAATACAAAAGAACTTAATTTAAATGCAAACTATCTAGAACTTATTTACTCTATTGCTTCATGATCACCTTTATTAATCCTACTACCACCTGTTATTATACTCACTAATACACCCATATTTAACCTATTTACAATCAACTCTTCTTCTATTAAACTTCAGGAAATTGCTAACCTCAATAAGAGATATACTAACTTCATATTTTATACAGATGGATTAGTCACTAATCTTACTACTAACAGATGCTCTATGAATATCAGATAGGTACAAATTCACAATAACATAATACTTCAATTATACTCTTCTCATATTAAACTCTGGTCATCATTTTACAAAGCAGAACTCATGGCAATACTATTTGCTATTTGTATATATCCATGCAACAGCAATATACAAATCTATACAGACTCTCAATCAATTATTGCAAAATTCAACAAAATTACCAGTTACTTAATTCCAATACACAAACAATACTCTTATTCATATTGGCCTATTTGGCATTTATTACTCAATCTAATCCAATCTTATCAATATGCAGTTACTTTCCACAAAGTATCTGCACATAGTAACAACACATTTAACAATAAAGCTGATAAGCTAGCAACAAATCACAACTCTACTACATATCTTGACTTCATACATAATAATTTATACAACATCTCATATACTTTAAAATATAGAAAATACATAATCAAACAACTGACAAGTTATTAAAAATATCTGTAATGTATATATAATTGCTATGTAGTCATTACAACACTATATGAGCAATATTATTCTACTGTCATCATAAATTAACTGGAATGCAATATAGTTATATCTTAACAACAATACCAAATGAATGAACAACTATACTAACTTCTTATTTAATCAAAGCAAATCATTCAAGATCAAAACACTATTTAACATTCTACCAACACTATATCATCTTCATGAACTATATCTAAACAGCTTTCAGTACAACAACTGCATTACTTGTCAGACACTAGAACACCTACTGCACTGGCTACTGTGCCCTAACCCAACAAATCTTACTAGTATTATTTCAGAAACAATTTTTGAAATCATTAACAATAACTCATTACTAGAAATTACACAATCACAATTACAACAATTATATAATTTACTAACTCAATATAACAGCCTATCAGTCAACAATGCCCATCAAGGACAAAGCAACATATACACAACACTACAAGGATACATGCCAACAGATCTAATTACTACAATTAGACCCTATACCACATCTCATCAAACTGCAACTTTAATAACTACCAAACTGCTTACCAAAATATCACAAAAAATATATGACTGCATATGGAAACCATATGCCACTAAACTAGCACAATGGAAAAAAGACAATAACATTACACCAAATAACAGATTTATAACTCACAGAAGATCCTATAACTACTTTAATCAACATTGTAACCTATACTATACAGTCAGCCAACTGTGTAGTCTGTCTAACCAACTTCATACAGAAGATAATAACTGCCTACCACTAGGAAATGCACTTCATAAAATTGACCTTTAGTCTGTATACTAAATACTATATAGCTACCCTATGAACAATATCTTACATTATCAAATCTTAGTAAGTTTTAACCATTCTAGTAGGTTTAGATTGCAGATAAATTAGATAGAAGTCTGTCTATAGTTTAAGCTTTATTCTTGTAATATATTTGTAATTGGAATAAGTTTGTAATTTATATTCAGAGAAGCCTCTGAAGGCTTCTTTAACAAATTAATAAAGATATAGGCAAAACCTTACCTTAAAAAAAAAAAAAAAAAAAAAAAAAAAAAACTAAATACTCTTCAAAGTACTATTTTGAACTCTTTATGAGTTACTCTTTATTGAGACGAAAAGGTATCACTTTTATAGTTTTACTATATTATTATAAATTACATGACATTTATTTACTAAAGCTACTAAGTGTACTATATTTCTTAAGGGTGATAAATCTAATAGATTCAACTAATTTACTAGAGATAATAAATGTGCTAAGTTTACCAAGTTTAATAAGTGTACTAAGTTTGATCAGTTCATTAAGTTTGATGAATTATACTTATAGAATTTTGCTATTTTCAAACAAAAACTGAATTCAGTTTTTGTTATTTTTTTTTTTTCACTTACTATTTTTAGCTATTTATTCTAAATTTACTAATACTAATTTACTACATATATGATCTTTAGTACTGAGTTTTACAAAAAAAGAGAAAATAAATGATGAAAATGAAATTTATCAAGCAAAAATAACAGGTAAAAAAAAGAAAAAAAGAAAAGACCAATCTGATGATATCTCTGTGCCTTTTACATTGTATCAAATTGATGTTATTAGAAAAATTATAATAAATTATATAGTATGTATGATATAGTTTTTAAAATAGGCACTTAAGCACTCTATATCATCCATATCTTTTACATATTTAAGAAATAACGAATAGCAATAAAAGCAAAACTTAGAGTTATTACAGTAATATGTATTGAGATTAGATTATGTTAGATGTTCATATTAATTAAAAATTTCTAAATATAGTAATACATTAAAAATAATAAAGTTTTTATGTTTATTTATTTAAAAATCATCCTAATTTACAAAACTAAGTAAAGCTTTAAGCACTTATAAAATAATAGTGCACAACTCAAAGACAATCATTTTTATTATAAAATTGCTTTTTGAATTGTAAAAGTCCAAAACGATAATAATGTAATGACACAAAACTCAAATAAAAAAAAAATCATTATTAGTATTTAAAATTGCTTTTTGAATTGTAATGTCTATATAACAAAATATAATGCAATAATATATAGAATTTAAAGTCCGTTAAGAAATAATATAAAGTATATATTGTACTAATCATCACAACAATCATAAATTTTTCTTTGCTTTTTGCCACTCATTTTGAAGAAATACAATAATAAAAAAAAGAAAAAAAGTCATTAATAAAAGTTATCAAAAAAAACTTATATAAGTTCAAAGTCTTACCTATTGAGTTGGTGTACTGCTTTTTCTTATAAAGAATCTTCATGTATATACAAATTTTGTTTTTTTGGTGATTTAGATAAAGCTTAAATAGGTATTAAATTTTAAATAATTCAGAGTTTATTGCAATATGAACAATACATTAGAACTTTCTAATGCAATAAATACTAGTATTGTTGAATTCAGATGCACTTTTGCAACTTTTGCTGAAGCTTGTGCAACAATTGAAAGTTATGCAGCACAAACAAATTCTGTTATAATTTTAGAAAAGACAAAAAAAAATCCTGACAATAGTTATAAGCAAGCACTTTTTGTATATAGAAAACAAGAAAAATATGCTAGAACAAATGATGTATATACTACTAAACATATTGGATGTTCTTTTGCTATCAGTGTATATTATCACAAATATGACAAAGAATTTGCCATTACTAAATCATGCCTGGAGCACAATCATGACTCTTGTTCTGATGCTACAAAATTCAGCAGTATTATAAGAAAACTTGATCAAAATAATTTCAGATTGATAGAAAAGCTATATAATAATAGACTTAGAACAAAAGCTATTTTTTCAGTATTGAATTCTGTTAGCACAAAATATATTCATAAACCTAATATTTATAATGCTATAAGTCATCAATGATAGTTAAAGTTACAAGGTTTAAGTGAGATCGAAATGCTTCTTAAAAACTTGTGTAAAGATAAAAATATTATAAATAACATTGCATTAAAAAATGCATTTAATAATAAATGAGACCAGGATGGTAAATTTATGCAGGCAATTTTTTGAGCATACTGCAATGCAGTTTCTAAGTTTGCAATAGGAAAGGATGTTTTGATTATTGATATAACTTATAAAACCAATAGGTTTTTAATGCTCTTAGTTGTTATTTGTAATATTGATCAGTTTGGATTTACATATTGGCTTACTTTTGCTCTTGTTTATTCAGAAACACAGGAATTTTACTGCTGAATGTTGCAACAACTAAGTAAGGTACTAAATATTGTAACAGGTAGTACACAAGTTGCAACAATAATAACTGATCATAAATTTGCCCTAATGTTAGCAATTAATAAAGTGTTTCTATATACAAACCATCAATTATGTACATGGCATATTTTTAAGAACATCAAAAATAAGCTTTGAAGAAAAGTTGACATTAACAAATTTATTAAGAATCTTTAAAAACTTACTTATAGTGACCTTTCAGAAGGTGAAATTAAGAAAGATATTACAGTATTGTGAACAAAATATTCAAGAGCGAAGACATATATGTCTAAAACTTGGATGCTATATAAAAAAAGCTGGCTTGCACCTTATACAAAAGGAAATGTAAACCTTAACATAAGGTCAAGCCAGCATGTCAAAAGTCTTCACAGTAAATTAAAAAATGTCGAAAATAGAATTACTCCTGTTGATGTTTTGTTTGCAACTCTCTTGTAACAATTGCATGAATTATTCTAAAAACAAGCATATGAATCATTTTTATATCAGAACAAGCATAAACATGATGAAACTAATGTAAGACTAAAAAAGTTGAAATTAGTATGTTCATGCTTTGCATTTGAATCATTTATAAAACAGCAAGCAGAACTTGCAAAGTCTGAATTCTATAAAGTTTTTGAAAGTAGTAAAAATACATATATTGTAACATAAATTTGTAATCATGTTATTTTGATTTCAACAAATGTTGTACATCTTTAAGCATCTAGTTTTTGTATATGTTTGCATCCACAATGTACAAAAATCTCTTGTCAACACATTATCATAGTATATTTGTTATATTTATATACTAATGTACTATCTAGTGAGATCCATAAGTGCTAGCATATACAATATCAAGCAGAATTGAATACTGTTTATCCACATATTGATCAGATTTTTAGACATCTTTCAAGTTATCATTATGATGCTTTTGCAGGTCTAATGCAGCAGGCTTTTGAGTATGTTATTGAGCATAGTAAAATATCAGAGCTGCTACAAAGAGGTTCAAATATAATAAAGCCAAGTATTTTTGAAACTGTTAACATTTCTGATATAACAAATTATGATGAAGTTAAAATGCCAGCAATTAAATGTTTACATGGATGCCCACCAAATAATAGATATATCTATGGCACAGATGAAAATACAATGTCTTCAAAAAAAAGTGTTAATGAATGCAAGTATAATAAGATGGTTTTAAAACCAATCAATTGTATTAACACTGCAGAAAATTGTGATAAAAGCTAGGTGCCAGCAACAAAATGTTCATGAGGTTAACCACTGAAGAATGCTGAACAAAAGTAATTTTAATTAACTAAAGCATTTTTTCTCTTGCTATTTAGTTTTATATTTGCCCTTGTTATTATGTTTTTTTAGCTAAATATATTAAATTGTAAGTGATTAGTATAAGAATTACAGTTCATGTTAAGTTTTATTTACATGTATAATTTGGAAATATAAATTAAAGTTTTAATAAAAGTAGCTATTAAACAATAAGATATAGTAAGTATAAGTCAATATTTAATATACAATAAAACCCTATAGTATGTTTTAATTGTAATGGGTTAAAGAATTTTATGTCTTAAGATCCTAGCATGGAAATTTTGAAATACATATTGTACAATATATTCATACTATTATTTAGTATTACTTCAAATTTTTAAGTTGATTAGTACTTAAACTCTGTATAGAACTAGGTTATATTTGAATACTGGCTATACTCTGAGCAGTATTAAAAATTTGGCACAAATATATTGTGCAGAAAAATTTTTTGTATATATATAAATGCTATTCTATTTTTTGTACATTTACACAGCCTTATTGTTAATTTAGTGCAAATAACAATACTTGCACAATGAATTTTTAACACTAACTCTGGAAGTTATTTAAAATATAATACTTATGATTTTATATGAAGATTATATATAAGAAGTACTACTACTATGTACAAAAAAAAGCACTACATATGTATATTGTGAAGAGCACAAGGATACCAACTGATTAGCCTTTTCCTTTTGTTACTATTTTCTTTTTTTTATTTGTTGTTTTTGCTTGATAAATTTTATTTTTGTTATTTATTTTTTCCTTATTTGTAAAACTCAGTACCAAAGATTATATACATAGTAAATTAGTATTAGTATAAATTTGGGGTAAATAGCTAAAAATAGTAAGCAAAAGAAAATTGTTATTTTAATAGTAAAATTTGATAAGTACAATTCATCAAACTTAATGAACTAATCGAACTTAGTACACTTATTAAACTTAGTAGACTTAGTGTATTTATCGTCTCTAGTAAATTAGTTGAATCTATTAGATTTATCACCCTTAAGAAATATAGTACACTTAGTAGCTTTAATAAATAAATATCATATAATTTATAATAATATAGTAAAACTATAAAAGTGATATCTTTTCATCTCAATAAAGAGTAACTTACAAAGAGTTCAAAATAGTACTTCAAAAAGTATTTAGTAGAAGTCTTGAATTTGAGTAAATACTAATAATAATTGATAGTAAAATTCATTATCATTATTTCTTGTCTCTGTAATCCTCAAAAAACCCGATACTGTTAATTAGTAAAAGATAAAAAAACAGATCTAATTAATAAACAGATCCCTTATATATTAAAATTCTTAAAGTGATTGGATTTGTAATTAATGACATTAATTAGATTACTTATCTGAAATTGCCAGATATTATGCTTCCGTAATATGCCCTGCACTATAGTAATATTAGAAGTAGCAAAGGGACCTAAATAAGAGTCAAATACTTATCCTAAGAAGTAAGTCCAATATCAAATCAACTACAGTAATATGTCTCAAGCCCTAAAACTCAGACTATATTTTTTTATACCTTGATCGAAGCCAGATTTTGGTGTATTAGATAGCAGCTTCTAGATTAGTGTATAGTATTGGTTCTTGTATAACTGTTCCAAAAGTTGAGTTCTAACTAAAACCAATTCCAACTTTCTCAATAGACCTATACCAAATTGATAGTTACTCATAGCACTGATTTTTTGATTTGATTTTCTAGCAATTTTATTAGTCGATCAAAATTGGTATACGAAATGTTACACAAAACTGGTGTATAAAAAAAATTACTGTAACATATAATATTTAATTTTAAGTTATTTTTTCTAATTAATTTTATTAGTAATACTTCTTTATATATTATTTCTTAGTTAGAATTAACTTTTTTACTAATTTTTATTATTTTTAAAATATTTATTCTCTTTGTATTAAGGTTTTTTTAATTCAATTAAGATGTTTTTCAAAAGCTATAAACAGGATTTACTTATTTATTGTTTAAATTATTAAGTTTTTTTAGTATTTCTTGTAATATATTTTGATGTTTTTCAATTTATTATATAATTAATACTTTTTTTTTTAGTTTGTATTATTTTTAGTTCTTTCTCTTTATTTTCTTTTCTTTATTACATTTATCTCAGATTTACCAGACTTTGACTTCTTATATACAAAATTATAAATATCTTGAAAGCTCAGTTTTCTTTCTTGTTTTTTATTAAAATATTTTTTTGTATTTTCTTAATTTAATTTATTTAATTTTGTTTCTTTTTATAATACATGTTTTTCTTCATATTAAGACAATTTATTATAGTAATAAAAAGTATTTTTTTTTTTATTTTCTAGTAATTTTCTTCAGATTTGAAATATACAAAAATTATACTTCTCTTATTACTATTACTATTGTTTGGTATAACTAATATCATAATTTCTAAAGATCTTAGCTATTTTAGCAAAGTTAACTCTAATGCTAATTTTGGAATATTTCATAATGCTATTTTATATTTTCTTCTTTTTTTAAGTACTTTAGAATCAAAATTTTCTGATATGATTCTATATATTGATTTTTTTTTAAAATATATTGACCAACTTGATGTTAGAGAATTTAGTCTTTACTGAATTAAATTTATAATTTGTACTAATGCTATTTTGGTTTTTTTCAAAGTTCTTTATTTGAATATTCTTGTTTTTTAATAGAAGCTTAAATAATATATAACTTTTTTATATTTTATATCTTTTGGTAGATTTTAAATTGTTAATTTTACTATTAAATTATCTTTAGCTTTGATTTGTTTATTTGGTTTTTGACTTTGCTTTAGCATCTTATTTTGTTCAAATTTTTTGATCTATTTTTAGTAAACTATATGAAGTTATTTATATTTTTAGATACTTATTTTAATACATAAATGTCTTTGTAAAATCTGTTTTCTAAAATCTTTTTTCTAATATTATATTTTTCTTGTTGTGTTTTAAAAGCATTAGACTTTTAATTCTTTTATTTCTGATTCATATATTACATACTGTTATTAATAGAGTTACTTTATTTTCAATATTTGGTTTATTTGAATTCTTAAGTATTTCTTTTTCTGTTTTATTTAAAAAAACTTTTCTTATTTATTAGCTTTATTCTCTTTTTTTTTGTTTATTGTTTCTATTTCTTTTTTAAAGTATTTTTGTTTAAGATTGCTTTTCTAAATTATTAACTATATTACTAGTATTTTTAGTTCTATTTTGTTTTGTTTTGGCAATATTTATTTTCAATTACTCTGTTATTGATTTTTTTTTTTCTCATGTTTAAGTTATCTATTTTTTTTTGATATATATAAGTCTTTTGACTTATTAATTGTAATATTGATAGTTTTAGCTCTATTTTTATTTTTGTATTTTGCACTTACTCTTTACTATTATTTTATATCTTTTCTCTCTTAATTAATTAAAACATTTTCTTTTATTGTTGTAATTTTTTTTTATTAATATTTCTGTATATTTTTATATATATATATATTTTTAAATATTAAGGTAAGTACTTGTAACTCAGAATTTTATTAATAATATATTTGACTAATGATTGTATTACAACTATAAGAGGCAACTATGAAAAGAGTGTACAACTAGCTACATATACAACTTTAGTTATTGTCTAATTTAAGTAGTCCATTTGAAGGTTCTATACTAATTATCATACCTGAAACCTGCTTGTAAATTTCTTATTTAAACACTTTAGTTTCTATATTCATTCATTTAACTCTTTTATCAATAATTCTAGTTAATGCTAATAAAAATATATCATAGCCATTAAGTCTTTAAAGCAATTCACAACCTTTGACCTTGTACTAAACCTTCTAGAATCTTTTATATTCCATTCTTACAGCTGATCTAGTATTGCTATAACTAAGACCAATACTTACAATTAGAGTATACTATTAAACCATTATGCTCTTGTAGAGTTTACTCTAATTCTGATACTAACTTTACAATATATTTCTACTATTTTGGTATTTAATTCAAGTTCTATCAAGCTTTTAAACCAGATAGCTCAAAAAAGTAGATCGTAACTATATCTCTGATTTACATGTTTTCTAATATGTATTCTTTTTCTTCAAAATCTGAAAATTCTAGTAGTCTGGCTAGTTTCATTTAGCCTCTTCTCAAAGATAAGTTCTTTGTCTAGCTTTACAAGTTCTAATTTTATTTTATAAGTCTAGTCTTTACAGTAGTACCATCAAAAATTCAAACTATTTCTCTACTCAAGTCTTCTAAATAGGCTTCTATTTTTCTTGTTTTTGTAATTTAGATAGCTACAAGGACTTATTATAGGTTTATACTATCTAGTACCAGTTTGTGTTTCTTTGTACAAGATACAATTGTTGCATAAATGCTATGTGACCTTTCAGTTAGGCTGATATGATACAGATAACAGATATCTGATTCTAACTAATAGCAGAAAACAATTAATTGATGATCCACATGTGAACCAGTGAAATTTATTATTAAAATTTGAAGAAAATTTTGTAGATTATATAAAAAAAATCACAAGTACCTGAACTTTACATAAAGGTTAATATGCAAAATTAATATTGAACTCATGTTAAAAATTAGTGTAACTGAACTGTCAAAGCCACGAGAATCAGATTTTAATAAAATTTTTTTATAAATTTCGATCGTTAAAAACTTTTTATTAGAGAAATGCCAGATTCGAACCTCTCAAAATATTATAATTTACTAGTATCAGTATGACGTTATATTGAGTTTTTTCTATTTATTGAAAGTATTATGTTGACTAACATGTGCAATTTTTTGTTTATGTTGTGTCGCATATTGTTCTATTCAGTTTTGAATCATTGACACCTTCGAAACATCACTTTCTTCTAAGTTACCTATTTTTACCAGTTCAAGTAATTCATTATGCATCTTTTTTGCAGTATAATGATCACTTTGTTAATGTTACTTGCTAAAAAATATCCTTTCAGATAAGTTATAACATATTTACTAATTCTTTTACCTTTGCCTTTTTTTCTAAATTTTTGGTTTTCTTTTAAAGTCTAGCCTAATGCAAGTGAAAATTCGCTGTATATATTTTTATTTAATGATAGGGTCAAATTGCGATTTTTTTAAATGTATGTGGTTATTTATAATTTGGTTTTACCTTTCTTCATTTGAATTCGATACTTCAACAGATAATTCTGTAATTACATTATAATTAGTTGAATTTTAGTATTACTTTTACGCTTGTTAACAATACCTGTTTTATGTAATTCAGGTTCTTAGGATAATTGATTATTCAATAAAGATATCAAATCTTGTTTTGCACTTTCATTATTATAGCTAATGCCTTGATTTGTTAATTGTATTTTCAGTTGATCAATGTTAAATGTTCAGGATAGATTTCTAAGATAAAAAAATTAGATAGTAGTATTTTAGAGTCTGTATTATTTCACTGACAATCACTTTAAAGACATCAAAATCACTTTACTGACAAGCTTATTTTACAGACAGGCAAGTTCATTTGTAGACAGTATATTTTATCAACAACTTATTTCACAAAAGATTTTTTTATAAACTGCACTAATCTTAACTCTAATTTTAAGCCTAACATTAACAGCAATAACTAGAATTACTTTGTGAAATAAGCTGTCAGTGAATTATACTAGAATTAATCATCTATAAAATAATTTTGTTAATGAAATATAGTGTTTTTGAAGTGATTGTCAATGAATTGATCAAAACGATATAATTTAGTAAAAAAAAAATTTATTACTTAACTTATATGGCATTGGAACAAACTATGAAGACTTGGGAACTGAATGCTGAGAAACTTGAGGATTTGGCTTTTGAATATCTTTTTTTTGTAACTTTTCTAATTTTGCAGATGTAAATTCGTTCTATTCACCAATATTAGGGATCGCACATGCTCTAACATATTCTGTAGAATTATCATTCTATGGCCATTCTCATAAAAACCGGTTTAAATTACTTGACAAAGTATTAACCTGTTTTTTACCTGAAACTAATATAGATTTGGATGATTTTAAATTTATTAAAAGTTAATTTGCAATTATTTAACAGCTTATTTATCACTTATTACCTTTAGGATGCTCTGACTCTAAATGAGCCACTGATGTTCCATGAATTCCTTCAATGGCCAATTCAATATCTGATCCTTGTGCAATATTAAATCCTAAATGAACATGACAGCTAATTGCATATGAAATCTGTAGTTATTTTAAAGGTAAGTTGTTATCAAATAATGTTATAATATTTTTGCATAATAATAATGCATAGCTGTGTATTATTTAGAGATGCATATATGTGATATTTGAATTATTTTTTATATTGAACATAATAGATTTAGTATAATAAATATACAGTACTAGCTATATCTGAATGCAGTCAAGAGAAACCTTGTCATTGGGATTTCAATTAGATTTGCTTCAGACTTCAAGATGTATTATATAAGTGCATAAGAGTAAAAACCTAGAAGCGAATATTTTGCTTCTAAGTTATGATCAGCATCTTGATAATTTTAATAAACAGTGATCATACATTACTAAAATTATGCAAAACACCAATCATAATTTTTTAGGAACCAAATATTCACTTCAGGGTTTTCACTCTTATGCAATCATATGTAACATATAATATATCATATTAGATTTTTTATGGACAAGTTCTGGAGTCTGAAATAAATATGATTGAAAGCCCAGTGACGAAGTTTTGTTTGACAGCACTCATACATTGATCAAATTAGATTCAAATATAGTAGAGGTAAATTATTTTTGAACACACATGGACATTATTTTAAACCAAGTATATAAATTTCAACAAGTAGAAATTTCAAAATAATGCCTAGGTGCATTATTGCATGCAATACAATAGGTTGATATTCAGACCTGAGCATGGTGAGAATTAATTGTTGTTTTCGCTTCCTCTGCTTTAAGAAAAGTCTATTTTCTAACATATATATTATACCATTCTTTCCACCTTCCCATAATCAACATCAAATCTGCATTATAATAATAGAAACCATTATCTGATATAAAAACAACCTATTCAGGCTGAGGATCTATTTCTGATATTGCAGCATGTAAGGAGGAAGCTGTAAACCAAGCATCTTGACAGGTATCAGTTGACCAGTGATCGAATACACAAACTTATAGTATAGTATTATTAGACAGGTGAGTATATATCAATATCAAATGTAATATCCATCCTTTTTTTCCAAAAAAGTCTTGCTTTGTTTCGTGTGCACTTTTTGGTAAAATTTTCATTTTATAATCTACTATAATTAGGGCACTCTTTCCATTGAGCTCACCTAATTGTGCATTAAGTTGTGTGTTCAAATATACTTTTCGAGTCTGATGAGCCAAATAATATAATAAATATTCTTTTATTTTATTTAATTCATTATGAAGATCAGATGGTATATGCTCTTGAATTTGTACAAATAGATTGAAAAAGGCTCTACAACAATTACAAATTAGATTGTGTGATTGCGAACATGTACCAAAAGCATATAGCATACAATGATTTATGCAGATGTCATGTTTAGGATAACCACAAGAATCAACTTTAAGTTCATTTTCATAATCTTTTTTCAAATACCTTTGCAGATTATTACATTCGGTAAGTAGTCATTCCTTATCATTATTTAATTAATTAGTAGATACTAAAATTAACTTTCTCATTATAGTAAACTCTTGATATAAGTATTGCCAAGTGAAAACCCAGAACTTTAAAAGAATTGGGTCTAAATTATTTTACCAGCAATTACTTCAAAGACACTGCATTCTATCGATATTTATTTCACCGACAAGCTTATTTTACAGACGATCAGTTTACAGACAAGGTCATTTTATAGACAGTATATTTCACTGATAGCTTATTTTACTGAAGATTTTTTTATAAATCACACTAACTTTAACTCTAATTTTAAGCCTAACCCTAATGACAATGACTAAAATTATTTTGTGAAATGAGCTGTCAATAAATTATACTGTATTATACTATCTACAAAATAAACTTGTCTGTAAATTAATCATCTGTAAAATAAGCTTGTCGATTAAATAAATGTTGATTGGAACTGCAATTTAAATTATAGTTATTAAAGTTCGAATTGATATAACAAAATGCATTACTTAAAAAAAATTTATTTTTAGTAACCTCTATAGAGATTATACCAGTTGGGAAAACCTCTACTCAGCTATTATTAAATTACTTAGATCAATTACTATGTCATGTAATAGCAATTTCTACCTGGGTACAGTCACTATCCCTCTATGCAAAATACCTAGATATTTATTATTATTATAATCAAAATAGTATTTGGTATTTTGCACAATATTTTTTTTGTTATTACAAATTAATTATAAGGGTTCATGGCATTTCACTGACAATCAATTCACTGACAAGTTTGTTTCATCAATAATTATTTCACTAACAGTTTATTTCACCAAGTTTTTTTAAAAAATTCTATTAACCTTAACTTTAATTCTAAACCTAACCCTAATGACACTATCAGAATTAATTTGTTAACAAAATAATTGTAAGTGAAATGAACTTGTTAGTTGATTAATTGTTAGTGAAACAACATATTGTTAAATTGATTGTCAGTGAAATGTCTATGACTGTATGTAGATACAATATGTTCATTATTGATCAGAGCATATATAACTATTTGTGAATTTTTTAAAGCAGTATACTATGGCAGTATTTTTTTTTGACGTGAAGATTTTTTCTTAGTCTGATAATTTCACTATAACGAGAGTAAGTAGTATAATCATTATTATCAAAAATTAAATTTACCTGATGATCCAAGCTTGCATAATGTAGGATCAATTTTTGAAGCTTATCAAATGATTCATATTCATACATGTTGCAAATTGAACAAAGACCACTCAAGTTTTCTTTATATATATATTGTTCTTCTTCTAAGTATTTATAAAATATTGTTCTTTTAATGCCATCTAGGTATTCTTTATGAAACCATTCCTATAAAGCTTTTTTGATATTTTTTAAGTAATGTACAAGCAATCCAGTTGCACTATTAGTTTTGTATGAACTCATTATAATATTTGCCTTATCTTGAAAAAAACTCTTAATTTGTTCTTCTTTTTCAGGTGTTAATTTTTTTATTGTAATTTTAGGCTTTTCCAACTAAACACATTCCAGGCCATTAATATATGCATAACAATGTGCTTTAGTAATCAAATAATTAGAGATCTAAAGATAAGTTTTAGATTATTTAAATTTAAGTTCAAATAAGTTAATCTATTCTTTATAAACTACTTATAAATAAATTTTCTTTAATTGTATCATAGTGAAATCTATCTGCAATAATAGATAATATTCTTCTTTTCTCATCATTTTCACAAATATTACTATTTAATATATCCTGAAATGTGCTCCAAAATTGATCTGTTTTATTATGATTTACAGGTATGCTTTGAAGAAAGTTACATTCATATAAATACTTTAACATAGCTTTGTCTTTTGTCTGGTCTTTCAATCAAGTCCAGAATTCAAATTAATAGAAAAAAAAATAGAATTATTCTATCACTGTTTTATATGACTATTATCACCAATTCTAAAAATTCTGTAGACAGTGCTTAGAGATAGTGCAATTCATATAATCAGTTGGTTAGCAGTTAAGATAGATGACAGTAGATAATTTTAATAATATATCATGAAGTTCATTGTTCCTAAGCAGTCTATAGAATTTCTGGCATAATTCAACATTTATCACATCACATAAGGCATTTGATTAGTTGCAGGTATTATTTTTAACAAATTGTCATCTTGTATAATGTTAAATAAAGAAAAATAATTTTTAAAAAATCATATTGCAACCCATGATGACCAGGTTAGTCCCAAAGTGTAGATCGATGTGCAGCTGCAGCAAAAAATAACCAATCAAAGACAAGCTGTAATTATATCTTTTTATTTTGAAGCCATTAGTTAGTATAAGTTGTTATTTAAAATTATTATTGTAATAATTGGTAATTATTAGTTGCGACTGTGCCATCGATCTATACTTTGTAACTGCTCTGGTTGATCCACAACCTACATAAGGCTGTTTGAGATTAATTCTTTGATTAACATCACTTTCAGAACTTTTGGAAGGAAGAAGGCAAAATGAAATGAACATATAAAAGTGGTGTGATTTTATTTGTCAATATAAATCAAGTGATCGGTGAGAGCTATTCAGTGTTTTGATTAGTTGTTCATTTTTTGGAGGGAGGCTTCAGCTGAGGGGTGATGTTAACTGAAGAATTAACTTCAAGTGGCCTAATTAGAATATTTTTAGTAATTACTTTAGATTCTTTTTCAAAGGGCGTTATATTTGAACAACCAGTATGTTGCAATAAAGCTTTCCATATCTGCAATTTATAGACTTTAACAATATAATTTGGTGAATATATTTCTTTAAATTTTACTATTAGCTCAATAATATTACTTTCTTGAGTTTTTCAGCTAATAAAAAAATCCTCCCATTTTACAAATGTTAAAATAAATTTTTTTAAGTAATAATTGAAAAGTTTATTCATAATTAGTTTACTCTGCCAATCTTCAATCATACAATAAGGGGTTTGTTCTTTTTTAATTGATATTTTTGTCTGTTTATATTCTAGTCCGAAAAGTGTACTTCCTGTAAAATGTGTTAGTATTCCAATTTTATTCCAAACTACATTAGGGTTAGCACTATGAAAAATATATTTTTCTTAAGAATTTTGATATATTTTGACAATTGCCTCATTATTAGTAAACTCTTGTAAAAATAATGAACAAGTTTTTTGGAAGTTATATATGAAAGAACTTTTATATTCTTTGCCAGCATAGTCCCAATCTGAGTTATCTAATGTACCAATTTCGAAAATAATCAAATTCAAATTTGTAATTTTAAAAGAAAAAGGTCAAAAGTAAAGATCTGAAAGTAATAAATTACATATTTCTAAATTATCAAATCCTATAACTAAAAGACTATCAAGTTTAGTTTTTATAGAAAAAGCCAGTTGATATATAAATGTGGCTGCTTCAGATGAACTTTTACAAATTTTACTTTGTAAACTTTTAGAATGATATAAAAACCCAGGTTCTAAATTGTCCTAAATGATGGTAATCATAAAGTTATAGCCATTTATTATAGTAATAGTTTTCATCCCAAGGCATAAGGGATAAAGAGATGTATAAGTTGCATTATTATCATTTGGGTGGACAATCCACCAAGCTTTAGCATATGGCCCATAATGCAAATTTTCTATAATTTCACTACGAAAAACAAGTGAAACCTTATATTTTGACATTTTGAAGTAAATAAAATAAAATATATATATTTGATAATAAGATTTATTTAAATTTGTTTGCTTTTTATATAATTTTATCAAGGAAGCTATATGCATATATTCAATTATTCTTTTTTTTGAATAACAATAACCAATTATATAATGGTCGAGCTTCTGCTATTGTTTTAAAAATTCAAAGCAAGTTTTTTAGCAATAAAAAAAAAACTATCTCTATTACCATTAAAATTACTAGAGAACAAAGGCATAACTACCGATACATGACAATTATATAGTGATCATTTATATGTCATATACTAATGCATTCCCCTGTATTCTCATTATTTCTATTCTTTTTTTTAAATGTATATGTATATATATATACACTGTATGTATGTATGCACATGTACTACTACTCTTTTTTATGCTTTTAAGAAGTATGCCAAAAACTCTGATACCCAAAACCATGGTTCAAATTACTTTTTCGATTACTTGTTCTGTATTATGGTTTAGATTTGTTATGCATATGTACTACTACTCTTTTTTATGCCCTTAAGAAGTATGCCAAAAACTCTGGTACCCAAGACCATGGTCCAAATTACTTTTTCAATTACTTGTTCTGTGTTAAGGTTTAGGTTTGTTTTATTCTATGATACAACTCACTTTCATTATAGTAAAGTCATTAGGCCAAGAAAAAACCTTTACTTTGAGAGAAAGCTATATGTACCTTACTGTATCAAGCTGAAGTTTAATAATTCTGTAACTCGATATAATAAAGGTTCGATACAGTAAAAATTTTGAAGGTTCACTATAACAAAAGTGAGTTATCTGATATTTTAATATTATCATTATCAGTTAATTATTGGTATGTGTACATATGTACGTAGAAACACTCTGTGCTACAATTTAGATCACGTTTTATTTTGCAGTACTGTTTTTTTATATTAGATATGCTCAGATTCTAAAAGTGGTTAAAAACATATATGTGTATTATCTCCAATTAATATTAGTATCGATTACTGTTTTGCATATGGATCATCAATTAATAAAAATCAAAAGATCAAAGAGGTTACCTTAATACCAAAAAAATAAAAAATAAACTAAATATTACAAGAGATTATATACAAACTATATATACTTATATCTATATAAAATAGCAGACCAATATATTTATATCCTAATATCTATTTACCAATTAGACAAACTATTAAAAAAATCAATATATAATTGTTATCTGAATTTATTATAACATATTTTATAATCATATTTTAATATTATAAATCTAAGTGAATCTTGACTGCTATAGTTGGTTTAGGTTACAGTTAAACTGTCTAAGCTTTAATTCTTGCATGTAGTTTTTATTTTGTAATTTACAATCTTAGTATATTTTAGTATATAGTATATTAAATATGTATAATTAAAATTATCAATAAAGATATAAACAAGACCTTAACTTAATATCAAAAAAAAACTAAAAAGTTTTATTAGTAATATTTTTGTTATATATAAATTTTATTTATTAACAAAATCATATAACAAATAATCTATATTATCTTTATCTTTAAATACAAAAAAAAAAATCATAAATAAGAATATAATAACTTAAAATAGTTAATAAGTTGTCAACCTTCAAGTAATAGATCTAGCATTCAAATTTTACCTATACCAAAATTTGAAAATTATATTTGTATTACAATAAATTATCTTTTAATAATTTATTAAATTAATATATCTGTAATTTTGGTATACTAATTTAATTGAAAACTTAAACATTTATATAAAATATAACATTATATATATATAAAGAAACATTAAAACTAATACTGTAAGGATGTGATGATTTAGTGAAGTGGTCAAGTTGTCAACCCTTCAAGTAGTAGGTTGGGTGTTCAAATCTTATTAATGACAAAATTTGAATAATTACCTATGTAATATTTGTATTATAGCAACTATTACTAATGATTAGATTAGGATATTTGTAATGACAATTATATTAGCATAACTGGCAAGTCATAGAGCATTTATGTAAATCATATAACATTGTCCTTTAGGACAAGTCTGTAGTTACATAAAGGAATGCAAACTGACAATTAGGTAGTATAAACACTAGATAAGTCCTTGTGATTATATAAATCTATTAAAATTAGGTAACAAGAAGTCTATTTAGAAAGACTTAAGTAGAGAGATAGCTAGATCTTTGATGGTGCTATTATAAAGGCTAGTCCAGAAAAACAGATATTCAGGTCTTAATAATTAAATAGGCAAGAATCTCTGAGTTGGAAGTCTTGAAAGTATTACTAGCTAGGCTGCCAAAATAAACTAAAGAAAAAGAATATTAGGCTGATTTAATATATTATAGACTGGTTATAATCCTATATAAGCTATTTGAATTAGAAATTTGATGAAATTCAGAGGTATACTAAAGTACTGAAGTTATGTTATGAAGTAGATACTAGGTTTGAGTGAACTCTACAAGACATAGCAGTTTAATGATTAAGCTCTAATTGCAAGTATTGGTTCTGCTATAGCTATACCTAGATTAGTTGTAAAAATAGGTACAGAAGGCTCTAAAAGATTTATCTTAAAAATAAATTA